CAATACATCGTGCCCCCCCCCCCCGCGCTTTCTTTTTCTTTCTCCCAGCTTCCTGCGACACAAAGAGGCCTCTGCGGAAGAGAGAGTTGCAGAGCTGCTAGAGTCACATATAAGCTGCCGCACGACTTACCCTCAATACACGTTCGAAAATCAAGTAAGTCGGACTCGTTATTTTGAATGTACAAGGCCAAGACAGCAACTTTAATTTATAAAATATTTAATATTTAATTACTCCATCATGTTTACAACATCTAATCGTTGGGAGAGGCGAGAGAACGAGTACGACTTGGTCATCACCATTGCGTGCGTGCTGCACGTTTCGAAACGTACTCAGACATGAAGAACTACATCTCTCACAGGGGATCCATTGCTTGGAACTTGTTAGATCCCTCAGTGGCTAGCACAAGAGCCTACGCTAAAATGGCCATCAACTCTCAAGCCCTTAAAACTCTCATTTTCTCTGCTGAATCACCCCAAATGAGTACGTCCAATGGTAATGACTTCGTCTTTTATTGACAAATAATCAATTTAATAGTACATGATTCATGATTCAACCGTTTATTAGCATATGATATATTTATATTTTTTCCTGACAGCACAAATATTTTAGAAATTTTCACTGTTTAGGTCTAGATTCTTTGTTACAATTGTGTACTTTAATTAACATGTTTCTAATAAATTATATACATGGCCCGACAAACAGTACTGGCTTTCAAACCGGATTTTCGGGAAACAGTTTTGTAAATGGCAAACAGCAACTTCTTATTCTCGGCTTGCACTGTCACGCAATGAAAAATAAAAATGCAAACCATTCAATACAGAAGGACTAGAATCTGGGAAATGGAAGAAGATAAATATAAAAAAACCCTTGCCAAGAATCAGGTCTGTGAAATATTTCAAATGCGAGATATTGGGAAAAACGGTTTACCTAAATTTATAAGGCTTCGTATGGAAACGCCACGTTGGTGCCCCTTTTAGGAACACCAATATGGCCGCCGGATACCAACAGAAACATTTGTTTTCGAGTTTTCCTACAAATGCGCGAATTCTTCGCTTGAGGAACTCATAAAGATTACAGTAATATTTACTCTGAGACAAGGAATGTTTAGATTGCAAAATCTCCCAAAATCGGTAATGTTTTTAACCCACATAAG